CGAGCAGAAGGAGCTGCGACAGAAGCTGCAGAGGCGCGACAGGCGGTTCAAGTGCCTCAAAAGTACCCTGGATGCCCTCAAAGAAAGCCGGATCGTCGATGCCGAGCTTCTCGAGGTGATCTGATCTCGATTTGAAAACCCAATGGTGTCAGCGCTTTTCACCAACGAAGCTGTCAATGGTGGCAGGAAGAAGCGAAGTGGCCAGAGGTATTCAGAAGAAATCAAGAAGCTCTGCCTCACCTTCCACTACTATTCCCCGAGAGCATATAGGTTCCTCTCAAAGAACTTCTCTCCGCCGGGTGCAACATCGCTACGAGAGTGGACGAGAAGCATCAGCTGTTAGGTGGGCGTCCTCCACGAAATGCTACAGACGCTGTGCTGTGAAGTGACAGCCAAGAAAATCGACCCCAACTGCTGCTTGATGGTTGATGAGACGGCGATCCGGAAGGCGAAGGTGTACTCGCAACCCAAAGACAAATTCGTTGGTCATGTTGCTGCGGGTGCAGGGGACGTGGAGGACACAAGACTGGCAACAAATGCCCTAGTGTTCATGGCCGTTGGTCTCAAAGGTGTGTGGCGCCATCCTGTCGCCTACTTTCTCACAGACCACATTTCAAGTGAGACTCGGACAGAACTGGCCAAGACTGTCCTGTGTGCTTTGAGCGATGCAGGACTGAAGGTGCGAGCGTTCGTGGCTGATGGACTCCAAGCCAACCTGTCCATGTTCAGCCACTTGGGCATTCAGAACCTGCAGCCAAAACAACTTCAGTTTTCCATTGTTCCTAACTACTTCCCGCATCCTGCAACCAACCAGCAGGTGTATGTTCTGCTGGATGTGGTGCACATGCTGAAACTGCTGCGAGGCCTCCTTGGTGAATACAAGAGCCTTCAACTGGATGGTGAAGAGGCATCCTGGAAGTATATTCAGGTAAGAGTATGCCAAATTTAATAGTAGTAGTAATGATTTAGTAGTAAATGATTTAGTGGTAATTCAGTCCCAGCAAAACCAAGTATAATGCTAAAAGACTACTTTTTACTTAAGTATCACTCTGTTTTTCTGCATACATCTATCCCATCATCTGTGTAGTTCGCGTCTAGATGCATGGGTAGAGACTTGAGAGAGACTTAACTTAATCTGAGAGCACGGCGATACTCTTGCACTAATGACTGAACCTGTTCAGCTTGTTTTCAGCATTCTGCAGCCAAGGTGAAATAACGATTGTGGATATATTCACAGGCGTTTACGACCTGCAGCGCAGTGAGGGTATCCGGGCGGCCAACAATTCTCTCGCCTGCACGTCCAGTGCGAAAAGAACAAAATGAAAGTTAAGATTGCTGCCCAGCTGTTCAGCAGCTCGGTGGGCAAAGCTCTGCTGTACCTAGAAGAGTCGGGCCACCATGAGTTCATCGGAGCGGGGGTAACGGCGTACGTCATCCTGCTTGTTGATCAGACATTCGACTACCTCAACAGCAGCAACCCCTATGGGAAGGGCTTCAAGACTCCTGTAACTGCCAACAACTTAATGTAAGTTAAAGTAATTAACATTAAGAACAACCTGATAAATCAAAAGTGTGTTTTCTTTCCCCTAAGGAAATATATTGGGATTGCCAAATACCAGCCATCACATACACAGCATCAACAATCATGCTAGTGAAATGTTCTTTGAAAATGGCATTGGCATATGGCGTGATGTGCTTTTGCGTTTGATCGCCTGTTATCCCCATAGGCAGATCAAGCGATAGGAGCAAAATGTCCCAAAGTGAAACGTGGGGCAAAAGTATGCATTATTTCCCTACAGCTGGCCACTTATGTCTTATGCTCCCCCACCCCCACCCCATCCCCCACCTTCCAATCACCAGGTGAAATTGGCCATTCAGGCATGTATGGGCAATCCCCACCGGTCGCCGGTCAAGAACGCGTGGACTGCCCGCTCCCCCGCAAACAAAATGGAACGACTGGGCGACCTCTGGTTATCAGCAATTCATTTTGAACATTATGTTGTGAGGGCGGTTTGTGGACGACCAATTGCCTCAGTAAAGGCTATAGATGTCGCTGTTATTCCTTTTTGAGTGTTCTGACCGATAATCATTTCCGTTAGGCTCCGACGTGAGTTTCTGGCCGACTTCAGTTCCGTGCTGTTCCGGCTGCAGACAGCATCAGGCGAACCGGTACTGCAGACGGGACGCTTCACCCCGGTCCCGGGTCTCTGTCTCGCGACGCAGACCGTCATGGACGTCAGTGAGGCTAGAGGAGGAGGAGGGGTTCGTCTATGTACTGCTGGAGGAGGGGTTCATCTATGTACTGCCATACAGGATGTCCCAAGACCATCTAGAGCTGCTGTTCGGCCGGATCCGACGTATGGGCGGCTTTAACAACAACCCAAACGTGGCCCAACTGCAACATGCCATGCGCAGACTCATACTGCACAACTTCATATCGCCATCTGCCACCGGGAGCTGCACGTCACGGGATGACGGTGACGACGACCTGTTTCAGATCCGTCGTCCAAAACGGCAGCGGCCGACGCTCAGCGAGAGTGGCCCCATGCCGGCGGTCGTGCAGCATCTCCTCACGACGGAGGACACCGGCTCGGGGTTCGTTGACAACTGTGTTGGCCACATTTCCGGCTATGTGTACCCCAAGCTGGTGGAAACGGGCGCGATCGGGTGTGGCGAGTGCATTGGTGCACTTCTGTGCAACGAGGACGACCCTCCGTCGCATGAGGTGATGGGTCTCGTTAAAGTGCGGGACAACGGCGGGCTGCTCATCGCGTCAGCGTCGACGTACGCGATCGTTACGGCAGCTGAGCGGCATTTGACCGCTTTGCATAAGTGTGGTAAGATGGACCGAGCGAAACTGTCACTGAGTATCCAGTGCAGTGTCCTGGCGCAGCTAATGACTGAATGCAGCCACGAACTGTTCCCCGATGTGCAAGACGACATGTTCGAGCCGCGAGCGGATGAGTGCCATGCTGTGGTAATGGTAAAACGGATCGTGGCCAGGTATCTGCGTGTCCGCCTCCACGCCTATGGACAAAATGCTGCAGTGAGTGGAATGCTCCGTACCCATTTGAGGCACAACCTGTACAAGCAGGTGCTCTTTGCACACCAGTAGTCAAATACATCAGTAAATATATTTGCTGGTGACCGCAAGTAGATTCACCAGTTACGTAGTTTTGGGGCTGTAAGGTACGTGGACACGCAAGTCTTGTGCATTAGCATTGTTGTACGGTGTACATACTCTGAACAACATAATATACTATGCGTAGTTTTGGGGCTGTAATGGATGTCGACGCGTAAGTCCTGTGCGTTAACGTCAATAGCACGGCGTGCATATTCGGAATAACATGATACACTATGCGCATATATCGGTGGCCTACACAGCTCGCAGGAGTACCGAGCCGATGGTGCTGGACATAGCTTGTATTCTTGTAACGTACCGAACCGAGACATGAGCTGTGGTCTTATCTGAGTGTGGATGGGGACAGACCTATTCTCTCACGCAGGTGAACAGCATGCATGCAGTGCATACAAAGGGATAACCATGGCCTGAACTCTAGGAAGAACTCGGTTACTTCGCCCATAAACAACGACGTAAGAATGTCCTCCGTCTCCCAACAGGCTGATGCGAATGATGGCATTGGCGTCAGTCGAAGTGCCGCCAGCGAAAAGTCGTGCTTTCCAACGATTTTGGGTCATCTATCCGACCTGGGAGAACCCAACTGTCGAATACATTTAAAACTGGATACAGTTGGCTAACATTCATGACAATTATCTTGCTCGGCTTTGCTTCTGACTATCTCAAGCCGAAGCCACAAGCCAGGAGAGGGTGATGCGAGTGGCTCGGCCCCTCTGCCCGCTGGAATGTTGCAAAGGACCACATCCGGATGAGGGTTAAGAACAACTGTTTCCAGCGTTATCGCTATGGCATCTTTTGTCTTAGAAGGACCATCTGTTTTCTTCTGAGACCAGATATTACCCTGCTCCCCCCCCCCCCCCCCCCACACACACACTTCTGCTACGACGCAAAATTGCAGAATCGGCATGCCTAGATCAGTCTGTCAAGCCGCTACCCATGCCCTTGGAGCGACCTTTGCTGTGCCGTATTGCGTAAAATTGACGTCTTAAGCAGCCCCAGAATTTTCAAGGCCCTCGCTCCCATCATTTCCCAATCACACGCCTCCGAATGTCGGCCATGCGCCATAGGATTATCATTGCGAAGCTAACTCTTGCCCCTCCCCGCGTGGTGGCGCTAGTGTCGCAAAACGGGAACAACCGGCCGGTCGCCGCGCCAATGGGAGTAGGCTATTTAGACTTGTATAGGCCGATGGTGTAGATCAACTCAGATCTGAGTCGGTTTACACAGGAGTGGCATTCTGTGTAAATCCACTTCGTAGTGGATTTAAGCAGAGGAACTGTTCTGTGTATATGTACTCATGAGTTGATTTACACGCGTCCAAAGCGCAAAAGCGATGTTGCGGTACATATGGCACACTGCTCGGAAGATTGACTGTTAGCAAGGTTTGACTGCTGGATGCGTGTCGCGAACGTAAGCGTAAGCACTTTCGGGTTGGGCGGCGGTCGTCGCGGGCGGGGCATTTTTGGGGCATGGGTCAGTGTCAAAAAAGAACGCAACTGTCTGAAAACGGTATCAAAAAACGGGCACTCTTAAAAGTAGCTCTAGTTGTGTTTTTAAGATAAACAAAATTTTAGATTTAAGTTTTTTCTGCTACTGACGTATGTTACGTTGCTCATCGCCCTGTCGGCGGCGCACTTACCAAGTCAGAGGAAAGGTGTGGATGCCAGCTATGTCGGGCCGGATTGTTGTTTTAGGAGGAAATAATCCTTCTGTCCCTGTTACATTTACATCCAGGCCCCTATCACACAGCAGCTGGATGTCCCAGACGGCGTGGCTGAGAACATAAGTTGGGGCAATGGGTAAACAGGAAGTCATTACATTCAGATAAACTGTGCGCATTACGTTGTTTTCGTGAATCTTATGAATTTTTTTCCTCAAAGCTGGGTAATGCGGCTAGGGTCCCATCCAACTGAATAGAAAATCGCACCTCTGATCGCAAGCTCATTAGGTTCGTAGTTCGTATCTAGGCCAATAGAAACTGGTGGGTATCACATTGTCCCAGCATCTGAGATGAGAAAGATACTACTTTGGCTGGCTAGTAGCTGCTCTGCCATGTGCCAGATGTTGGATTTCATTTTATTAGAGCGGGCTGCATGAGTTTCATTCATAACTTTGGTATGCTGTGCCCTGGGGTATTATGCTACAGGTGCACAATGTTTTAGGTGTCAGTTTCTATCACCCATAATTGAGGCACCCTTGTAAGTAGAATGTTGATATAAGCAGCTTTTTGTGTCTTAACTTCAAAAAGTACAGATGGTGTGAGCATACAATTAGGAAGGAAATGCTTAGAAAGCCCAAAGCATTCAGGGCTACAAGCTACTAATTGTCAAAGGCCTCAGGCCATCACTGAGATTAGTTAGTGCATGGTATGTATTGTCATCTGCTTCTCTTCTCATTACAATCCTTAGTTTTGAAATGTTTGTTCTCTTTCCCTAAAAAGCCAAAACCAAATTTCCAACATAACCCATTTATTGTATTATTCTAGAGTTTATTTTGGAAAATTCAGTGCATGGAACCACTAGTAGCTCTATATTGTATTAGTGAATGCTGTTAGGATATATGTATGCTGTAGCTACACATCATTGACATTTGATTTGTGTCATGCTTGAATGAAAGAGATGGTAAGTGTCCATGGGTGTTTCAGGCACTGAGCTTCACATTATTTGAGGCTGGAGCCATGAAGTTCAAAGTCAATGCCAAATTACTCCCTGTGAAGGCATGCTACTTCTTCTTTTTTGGAGGTGAGTACAAACATGCAAATTGTGTTGATCTTTCAATTGGCTAGGAAACCCCTGTTAATGGTCTTGCCTAAGGTGTTGTGAACAAATGATGTAGAAGACATTGTTAATGAATGATGTTGTTTCTGCCATTGAAGCAGGTGGTAAATGATTACTCTATAGTTGCTCTAACTCATATATATCCACTTATGGTGTGCATAGTAGTGGCTATTTTGCTTTGGCTTAGTGTCATTGACCACATTTCTCAGTAAAAGTGAGCAAAGCTTAGTTCAGTGCAGTGTCAGATATGTGCACTGCTATACAATACCTCAGGAAATACAAGATCATGTTACTCCGCAGACATGTTAGCTGTAAGTATAGCTGGTACAGTTGGAAGCAGTTTTTGTCTGTCGCCTAGCTGTCACTGATTGAGTATGTGTGTATGCTTCAGCTGACCAGCATTGCACCATCACCCCTCAGGTGTGGCACCAATACTGCCATTCCTGCCAGTGTATGCACACCAGCTGGGTGTGTCAGAGGTGGGTGTGGGCACCATCTACCTGGCACTGCCCGTGCTGGCTTCGCTGATGCGGCCGCTGGTGGGCGGGCTGGCCGATGCCACACACCGACACAAGCTGGTGTTCCTGCTGCTGCTGACCGTGACAACGGTCGGCTACGCGGCGCTGCACTTTCTGCCGCCGCTGCCGGCTGCGCCGTCGGCCCTCTCAGCTGATGTGCAGCTGGACTGCGGCGGCCAGACGTTCGTGCGCGTGTGCGCTGGGCAGCACCCCTCCTGCCACGCCCAGCAACTCGCGGCCGCCGCGCACAACGCCACCGCCTTGTGCCAGCTACAGTGCGACCAGTGGCCCGACTGCGGCTCGGCCTGGTGCCGCTCGGCGTCCGTGGCGCCGCCGCCGCTGCAACTGCAGCTGGACCTGAATGGCGCCGACCTGGAGGGCCGCTGCCTCTTCCTGCCGGTGTGGAACGTGTCGGGTGGCGAGGGGCCTCACAGCCGTCCGACCTGCCGCAGTGCTCAGACAGTCAGCTGTCGCCTCAGCTGCGACGACGCGACGCTCATGAAGGCGCTTGACGCCAAAGCGGTCGACACGGGCGCCTACTATCGCACCAGCCAGTTCTGGTTGATGGTCTTGTTCCTGGTGCTGGCATGGGTGGGCACCTCGCTGAGCGTGCCGCTGGCGGACTCCATCGCCTTCAAGCTGCTCGGTTGGTACGGGCGGTCGAACCTGACTGTAGCTTTGCTCAGCACTGTAGTAGATGCCAGGCCCCACTCCACTACCTTTACATCGAGCAGTAGCAGACTGTAGCAAACGCGAAGCTCAGCCCCACTGTCGGTGGCTGTCATTAGCTCAAGTACCACTGGTATTAAAGTAAATCGTGTTGCTCTTGTTTGTGACGTGGATGTGGTTTTCCAATGGTTCCCTGTGATGATCACAAGGTGCTGTTGCCTGAGCGAGCGGCTTGGCGTGCTGAGGCCGAGAACATGTGCGTGGCTTACCGGGGCCGTGTGTGTCCGTCTGCCGCTGCGACCGCCGCGCTCTCGTACGCCGCAGACGATCCGGCTCGGTACGGCTACCAGCGCGTCTGGGGATCGATCGGCTGGGGTGCCTTCAGCTTCCTGTCTGGCTACCTGGTGGACGTGGCCAGCGCGGGCCGCCACGCCAAGGACTACTCCCACGCCTTCTACCTGCTCGTCGGACTCATGGTGCGTGCGACGCGCTCGGCGGGTGGTGTTGGCCGCGCGCAAGCGGTGGCGGTGGTCGGAGGTGTCAGCCAGACGCCAGACGGCCCCGGGTCAGTTTGGCTGGGACGGTGGATAAGGTAGGCAGATGCCGCGTTTGGTGGCACATCTTGCGTCTTTTATTTTGACTCAATCGGTCTAAAACCTGAAGACCTGGTCGTGTTCTGTAAGCTGTCGGGCAATGTCAAAACGACGCGTTACACCTTTTCCGACAATGGGAGAGCGTGGTTTGGTATTTGAACTCAATAACCATTCTTCATATCAAGACTTTCGATGCCTCATGTTTGGCCTGCTTTTCGAACATTGTGTTGCCTATCGAACCAGGTAATTGGTGATGACCTGCGTACGACGGGCCAACATCAATCCTTGGCTTGTACGTTGACACTTGTAGCTTCATGAACGGTTGCTCTGAAGTGAAGACGTACTCCGGCGCCTGGCTGGCATGCCGCACGTGGCCCGTCCGCCTCTGGAAGCCATGTCACACGTGGCCCGTCCGCCTCTGGAAGCCATGTCACACGTGGCCCGTCTGCCTCTGGAAGCCATGTCACACGTGGCCCGTCTGCCTCTGGAAGCCATGTCACACGTGGCCCGTCCGCCTCTGGAAGCCATGTCACACGTGGCCCGTCCGCCTCTGGAAGCCATGTCACACGTGGCCCGTCCGCCTCTGGAAGCCATGTCACACGTGGCCCGTCCGCCTCTGGAAGCCATGTCACACGTGGCCCGTCCGCCTCTGGAAGCCATGTCACACGTGGCCCGTCCGCCTCTGGAAGCCATGTCACACGTGGCCCGTCTGCCTCTGGAAGCGATGTCACACGTGGCCCGGGTGCCTCTGGAAGCCATGTCACACGTGGCCCGGGTGCCGCTGGGAGCCATATCACAGGTGGCCCGGGTGCGGCTAAGAGCCATATCACACGTGGCCCGGGTGCGGCTGAGGGCCATATCACAGGTGGCCCGGGTGCCGCTGGGAGCCATATCACAGGTGGCCCGGGTGCCGCTGGGAGCCATATCACAGGTGGCCCGGGTGCCGCTGGGAGCCATATCACAGGTGGCCCGGGTGCGGCTAAGAGCCATATCACACGTGGCCCGGGTGCGGCTGAGGGCCATATCACTGGTGGCCCGGGTGCGGCTAAGAGCCATATCACACGTGGCCCGGGTGCGCCTGAGGGCCATATCACTGGTGGCCCGGGTGCGGCTGAGGGCCATATCACAGGTGGCCCGGGTGCGGCTGAGGGCCATATCACGGGCGGCCCGGGTGCAGCTGAGGCCCATATCACAGGTGGCCCGGGTGCGGCTGAGGGCCATATCACAGGTGGCCCGGGTGCCGCTGGGAGCCATATCACACGTGGCCCGGGTGCGGCTGGTGTCACGCTGCCACTCTCGGTCGTGCTGCCAGGTGCTGAACATCATAGTGTGCACGCGGCTGCGGGTGTCGTCTCTGAAGGAGGCGCGGCCCAAGTTCCGGGCAGGACTAGGGGCGCTGCTGCGACGGCCACGTGTCCTCCTCTTCCTGCTCAGCTGCTGCGTCGTCGGCACCATGACCGGCGTCCTCTGGACATTCTTCTTCCTGTGAGCAGAATGCCTAATTGGTTCAGCCGCGGGAATGGAATGAGGGAGTTGGGCTTGAGCTTTTGCGTGACTGTTGGCTCTAGTGCGGGGAGCCTGCCAGCGGTCTTGGGCTTGTGACTGAACTGTCGGCCGTTGTTCGGACGTGAGACGCTTCCATGTATGCACACTGGGCCTGGAGGGATGTGTTTGAATAGAGCGGGATGCTGGGCTTGCGACGCGCTCCTGGAGGCTTGTATTCGAATAGGATGAGGTCTAGGCTTGAGACGCGTAATCGGTGGCCGGTGTCAGTTTGTTTCCTCGGGTACTTCTTACTGGACGGTGTTGTGGGCGATTGACGACAGTGACCCAAGCAGTAACAAGCGTCGCAGTATTTTGAGCCACTGTTTGGCTGGACTCCAGCTGCAGTTGATCTGTTGTTCCGTCCCCGTCCAGCCATCTGCAGGACGTGGCCCTGGCGTGGGATTGTTCGGCTTACGAGTGGATCAGCATCATCTCCGGAGGTACCCTGCTGGTGCAATGCTTCTTCGGAGAGGTGCCCTTCTTCTTCATATCGGGTGAGGCGTCTGCTCGTTACGACTGGGGAGGTTCCTAAAATTATCGGTCAGAGTTATTATATAAGAGTAGTGCTTAAACACTGTCGAAGCATGAGCATGTATATCTCATTCGAAGCTCACGAGATGAACACGACTGACATGGAACATAGACGCTGATACCCGAGGCATGAATGCTTTGAAGATGTGTGGTCCCTTTTTCGTATGTGTTAGTGCCAGGATCGGTGAAAACGAGGTGCCCGCTTTCCGTTTACCAAGACCATATCATGTTCAATTGCTGGCAATTGATACGGCATGCTGTTAAAGCTGGCGGGTAATTGTAGCGACACTCAAAGGTACGCATTACACGAGTGACGAGAAGCAAACTAGTCGTCCTTTGCGGTGCGCAGCGTTTTCCAGTTGGTTCTTTGTATTGATCCGCCATCGACTTCTTGTTCAGTTTTGTGTCTCGCGGTCAGTTAGCGTGTGCCATCGTGCTCAGTCATGACCTTGTGACTAGTGTAGCAACGAGCGGTTTGTAGCAGTTATTGCACTCTTAATGGGGTTTTAATACTGACGTGGCCGCGCTCGGCCTGCACAGTACGTCTGCGATCAGTGCCTTGAACGTTGAAAAGCGCGCTCGACAGAAATTTTACGTGGATCTTGCAAACATCGCACATGCTGAAATCCCGGCCTATGTTCAGCCACAGGCACGTCGGGGGCGGACAAGCGTGGCTCATTGTGACTGCTGCCCCGGACTTTTGCTATGCGTGCACTGTATAACGGGGTGGTGATGCCGTGTGCGCATCTACTGTCCGAGCTGCGCTACTGCACAGGCGCCCGCGTGTCTTCGACGTCGGGCGTCGACGGCCGCTGCAGGTGGGACCCATTGTCATTGTCAGCGTATCGCTCTCTCACACTGCTCTGTCCCTCTCCCAGGCTGGATCATTGGAAAACTGGGTCACGTTCACACGCAAACGGTGGTGCTGCTGGCGTTCGGCGTGCGCTTCCTGCTGTACTCGCTGCTGCGCAACCCCTGGCTGGTGTTGCCCGTGGAGCTACTGAACGGACTGACGTTCGGCCTGTTCTACGCCAACATGGTGGCGTACGCCGGCGTGATCGCACCGCCAGGTGGGTGGGCACCGGCCGGACGGTGTCGGCCCGCGCCGCCGCTGCCGCCGCTGCTGTCGCCGGGGGTCGCCGCACGGCGTGCGCTGTATGGCGCCACAGCGCGCCGGGCACCTGGCCGTTCCGCGCGTCGTGTCTGGCCACCGACGGATCACTGTGTTCAGCGCCCGCGCTAACTCGTGCTTGTTGCGTGAGCTCTTATCCTACCATCCCAGCGTGAAATGTCCGGTCACCAACATCATTATGTGGTAAAAACTCGATGTGCCGTAATGCTCGGTACCGGCCGTCCTGCCCTCTGACGTCACCTGACACCACCTGACATTTAGCGCGGTTGCTGCCGCCAGTTGGAGGCCACCTCAGTCAGGGACAGGGAGTGAGCGTCTTAAGCGAAACGAACTCACCCCGCCACGGGTGTGTGAATCGGAAGGCAGGCGATCTACCCAACGGAGCTAGCCGCCAGCCGGCACTGACCGGTTGGCCGTGACCCGTTGGTGTCGTGAGCGCTGCGGGCGCGGCCGGCCGCCACTGGGCGGCGCTTGACCGGCGTTGGTGTTGTAGGCATGACGGCCACGCTGCAAGGCCTGGTGGGCGCGTCGTTCGAGTGCGTGGGGGTGGCCATCGGCAGCGGCACTGGTGGGCTCCTCTACTACGCGGTCGGCGGAGCTCGCATGTTCCAGGTACTGTGGTTTCACCCGCCTTGCCGCTGGTCGGCCAGCCAGCTGGCTGCTTCGTCGCACAGGGGTGCTTTCAGCAGTGTGGTTGTAGCAAATTAATTATATCTATCGTAAATAATCAATGTCGTTAATGTGCTTCAAGGTCACAATCCCACTCATATTTACAGTTGTCAGTAGCCGTACATAATCAAGATGCATTTACAGGGTTGGCAGAAAGTGACTGGAAAGTTCTTGCCAATCGGCTTGTACCGGTTAAAACCAGCTAGCGGAAGCTATCAATAAAATCATCCGGCAAAAATAGCGGAATATGCTCAAGGCTTTGATAATGTTACTTGGTCACATCGCACTGTACCAACCCTGTATTGGAATTTCGATGACGACACCAGTGGTGGTTTGGTGTTTGACGCCAGCGTGTACCAAGTAAGCGGGCGTACTGCGCCTGGTGTTGACGTGTCTGGGGTGACACGCAGAGGTCAGCGGTTAGAACCTGAGCGGCGCGTGAGCTGCCGCACTAAGAGCCGTCACCGTCGGACGCGATGGTGCTTAGGTTATGGTTCATTAACTGGCTGTACCTCATCGCAGCTCTGTGGGCTGAGTGTACCGTGACCACTGCTTCATCGGCTGATTATACCGTGGCCACAGCTTCATCGCCTTGCTGTACCGTGACCATCGTACCACCGGCTGGTTGTACTGTGGCGACAGCACCACCAGCTGAGTACGGTGCGATCTTGCCACATTGAGTTGTTTAAACTTGGGGCACTTCCACGGTCATGTGGCGTCCTTTATTGTTGAAACGATCTTTGCGATGAACCGTGTGCCCGTCCACGTCTCCGTTGTTAGTATGATGGGTGTTGCAGTAGGAGCCGAGCTCTGCGAGGAGCAGAGACTTCGAGCCGAGCTCCGCACGGAGCAGAGACACGTCCAAGAGTGGTTTGCTACATCTCTGGCTCCGGTATATAAGCCGCACCATGTGACCTGGCGAGAGCTTAAACCGAGAAATGACGCATATGCGGGATCGTGTTACCCAGCTCTGATAGCGTGGACCCAGCGGTGAGCCAGGCGCGTAAGGCCAGTACGCCAGCGTTGAGGACCATTAGACAGGTCTTTTGATGACCGAGATAGATTCCTTCACAGAGCCTAAAGCAGCTGTTCCGTCAATTGCCGGGTGCCCGCCAGTCTAGAGGTAGTATCCACTGAGTGTTGCGGCCGTCGCCCAATTTCGAACTGGCGACGTACAGCAAGAGCATGTGCAACTTGCGTCAGGACACCGTGCTCCCGCCTATGTGACGCACGGTATCCTGACGCACGGGGGTGGCGGAGACAGCTGAACGCGCGGAGCACGTTGTCCGCCCGCCCGCAGGATACCGTGCTCCCGCCTGTGTGACGCACGGTATCCTGACGTACGGAGGTGGCGGAGACAGCTGGACGCGCGGAGCATGGCGTCCGCCCGTCCGCGCTCTCTCTCATTGGCTGGCGTCTGGTTTTCATGCTGCCACGGACGTGCGCGCTCATCTGCTGCGTGCCTGCTGTCAGTCGTCAGTCTGCATTCGTATGGGCGGAGAGCGACTGCATGTGGGCACGGCGTTTGAGCGGAGCGGAGTCCGACACCATGACAGAGGCTACTTATTTTCCCGTATAAAGCGTCACGTGCCGTGGGTTTGATGTGAGACGGGAGCACAGGCATCTAAGGTATCGGTAAAGGTATGCTCAGTTGTCAGATGTTGAGTAGCCAAAATGCTGCTTAGGGGGATCGGTAGCATCAAGAAGACCGCAGCTTGGTGTTGATGTGGATTGGCTGCCATGGGGCCACTCGCTGGAGCTGCAGCCTTGGTCGTGACGGCGCGCCTTGCCGATGTCTGTTTACCCGCACGTGGATAGATTTATTAGTGTAAAATTGGAGTGTCGCGTTCATCAGGGCCAGTTCTCAGAAAGTGCTCTGGAAAGCCAGATGCGAGGCAACATTCAATGCTAAGAGCGGCCTGATTATCCTTTGTTGGAGCCCAGTCAGCGAGCACATTCCCATTCCATTCCCAGCCAGCCCCATCGCGCGGACAATGGGGCCGGCCGGAATGTCTCGGACGCAACGCATATACCATGAAGGTGTGCTGCGCCAGAGGCGCGTTGTACTTATTCACGCGTAGACACAAAGGCCCGACTCTCATATTATGGCTATGAGTGAATCATTGCCTTTTCTTTGCTGGTGAAACAATGCCTCTCATGCTGCGCCGTAGGGCATCCTGGCAATGACTGTTATCACTCCGTGTCTTGGAAATACCAGGTGCCGAGCATGACCGTATTTTATCAAAAATAAATCCCGAAACTAGCTCTGCCAGGGAGTGTTGCGACTCTTTCGTGCAGCACAACGGGAGGGACTGGGCCGCCCACTGCCAGCTGCAGAATGACATTCACTTGGTTTGTGTCATTGAAACGATAAAAAAAAAACGTTCGTTAAATCCCATCTCTTTGGTTTGTTTGGAGCCCACTTGAGCACACGGCGCTGCCGAGGTCAACCAGTGCCCAGACTTGCTTGGACGTCTGAATGTCAAAATGTAAAAATCATCAAGGAAGGAACTATCTGTCTTAGTCCGCAATGCGTCAGCGATATAGTTCACCATGATCATGCGCAGTGGAACGCTAGGATGCCTGCCTTAGTCTGAGGATTCCAATGCTTAGGATGCCCTGCTGCAAGTAGCAAGCCTGGGCTGTTGCCGGGCCGTCTCGATGCAGTGAGGCATGCCGAGAAGCCTTTTCTCACTGTGAAGTGACGATCGTGTAAAAAACTGGACTCCACCGGCCCATGTGACGCCGCACTCCGCGGATCTACAACAGTCGGCCTGGGCTATTCCCGGGCTGTCTCGATGCAGTGAGACATGCCGAGAAGCCTTTCCTCACTGTGAAGTGACGATCGTGTAAAAAGCTGGGCTCCACCGGCCCATGTGACGCCGCACTCCGCTGGTCTACAACAGTCGGCCTGGGCTATTCCTGGGCTGTCTCGATGCAGTGAGACATGCCGAGAAGCCTTTCCTCACTGTGAAGTGACGATCGTGCAAAAAGCTGGGCTCCACCGGCCCATGTGACGCCGCACTCCGCGGGTCTACAACTGCATCGGAATACTGTGATGACAAATGGTGTTCAGGTCATTGTCTATGCCACGTAGAGGTAGTCTTCATCTTAAAACAGTCACGCACTGATCATCATGAGCAGCTTGGAAACGCAGAAATTCAAGATGCGTTTGTAATGGTACGTGTCCGTACTACCTTTAATAGTGTTTAAGATTCGTACTTCCAGCGGGTCAAGAGTTGTGTTCGTTACTAGAATAAGGCGCGTCCGGAGGACGGGGGGGGGGGGGGGTAAGATACTCCCTCACGCTTTTTTAGTTCCCAGCAACGCGAGAGCCAGCACATCTGTGTGGGCGACAGTCTCTGTAATGCAAATATCTAATCATGGTATAGTTAAGGATGTGTAATAACATGGTATGGTATATGAAAGGAGTGCGCTGATAGAAGGTTGGTTTATAATCACGACTGAAAATGTTTAAGATCAGCATCAACGTGTTTGCGCAAACATTCAACACTTGAACTGGGCAACCCACGGCACATATACATCACACATAATAATTACTTGAATGTTTGTGCTAAGAAGCCAGCTACCTGAAATTGGCCGCAATCACGATAACAGATCGAACGCGAGGTAAATGTATGAATGGAGGGGGCCTGATTCAGAGCGGGCGGCTTGCAGTTGCGTGCTATGGATCTGTCGAGTCCGACGGCTTAGCCGAACCGTCCAGCCGGAGAGTTAGTTTCAGTGTTTTGGCAGTCATTTCAGCACGCTGGTGGTAGCCCTGGCCCAATGAGTGAAGTCTGTGAGTGTTCCCGTGACGCTTCTTGGATAACGCGGATCTGAGTATATTGTATGGTTTAGGACTCCAGCTGTCCCGCAATCCGCATATTTTGAATTGACTTTTGGAGCTTTCTTGAGAGTAGATGTGCGCTGGCGGCGGCAGCTCCCAGCGACGGTGCGGCGTTTTGAAGGCTGACTTCATCGTCCTGTCCACCGCTTCTTGGCTTTCCCTGGTAGCATGCTAACCATCACCGATGATTGGCCAACTTCCGGCGCCTCGTGAACGGGCATGCTATGGCCCGGTGCGGGTATGCCACTTGTCGGCCCGGGCGCTCTATGACACGCATAGAGCACTGCTCATGTCGTGGCAGCATTACCACAATAATGAGCGAATGTGTTGGAATCCAGCTATTGTGGGCTGTTTCATGCGCATATATATATATATATATATATATATATATATATATATATATATATATATATCGCATAGTGGCACCAGGGCGATAGGACACTCCCTGTCGAAATCTGCGACGACTGACACGGTTTTGTCCTGATGGCGGTCCTCATGATGGTTATGCCACCTGTTTCAGATGGGGTTTGGCCTAACCCATTTTAGACTGGTTACCGTGTCCCTCTTGGAATCCACGTTTCCTATTTTTGATGCCAGCCTGGGCTGGGTCAGTCGCACTTTGATCACGATGTAATTTTATATCTGCTCACTCGCCAACACTCCACGATAGCACGATAAAAAATTCGTGTATGCAGCAGCCCGCCCGTTCAGAACTAAGCATATTCTTTAAATATCTGACATGACTTGATGAGTTTTTCAGGGCATTCCCAGTCATCATTGTCCCGATGTTTGCCAAGC